CAAAATTGGTACATCAATCCACAAAAATAATTTTTTTTTTTTTAATATTTTGGTAAGTAAGTCTACTAAGTTTGACGAGCGACAAATTAGTAGACCCAAAATAAAATAAAAATTTTGAAATCGGGTTGACTCAATCAACCCAAAGAAAGATTGGTTCAAATCGAAAATTGTGCATCGGGCAACTCAAAAAAAGATTGGTTCAAATCGGAAATTGTGCAGCGGGGTCCAAATACAATGATTCGAAACAGAAAACACACACAAAAAATAAAAATTAAAAAATCGAACATTAATGGGGTTATATAAGAGCAACTTCAATGCGTTGTTGTCAAATGTAAAAATTACTGCAATGTTACTATTAGATATAACGTCTTCATATTTATCTCTCCAATGGGTTATGTCTTGGTCTAATTTTATCTGACGTGCCTTGACAGTAGTGAAGCCTACTGTTTGAAACCAAACAGTCTCATTGACAGTATGGCTCATAATAAACGTCCCGCTTAGAATCGTGGGAAAAAAGTTCGGGAAAGTGGAGAAAAATAAGAAAACCTGATTTAAGGGTACGTGAACACATATGAATCTTAAAATATTTCTAAAATCAAGATTGAAGTCTCTAATTATTCTAAAACCAAATATGACGATAATATGAGGGTTATGATTTAATATTCTCAAGTATTTATGTGGAATAACTAAGCTCCAAGTTTTAAAGATATATTAGGAGATAGGCTTGTTAACTCGTTATCCAGATGCTACTAAAAACTCGTTCAATCTATTAGAAGTCTAAAAATCAGTTTAACATAATCCCAATATAGTGTGTAAAATCCAAAATGCTACTAAAAGCTCGTTAAATCTGTAAGAAGTCTAAAAATCAGTTTAACAGAATCCCAGTATAGTGTTTAAAAATCAGTTTATAGTGCGTTTGAAAATCAATTTAACAGAATCCGGTATGAAAGAAAGTGGTGCATTGTACGAACTACGAAGTCTTTGGGTGTTGCAATTCCTACTGTCAACGTTGATATTAAGGGAATTAGTTGTCGAATTATTTACAAACACGTGGCACAAACATTTAACATTCACATTAGCACACTGGAGATGCTCTAAGCAACAACGATCAAGAAATTATTCCCCTACCCTTTTTTTTTCTCTCTTTTTTTGTCCCATGAAAGGAGTGCGCGTGTTCCCATTCTTGAGAAGACAATCTACCAACTGTGCTTTAGGAAAAAGCACGTAATATTTCAAAAAGGATCACTACAGATAGAAATGGAGGCAAAAAAGGTCATGAGATGAAAAAGATGTAAATTTATAAGTGGTGTGTGAACAAAACTAACATATTACAATGATAATGGGGGGACCAAAGACTTTAGATTCTACACTTCAAAGTTGAGAATAAATTTCTCTCTTTGTTTGCCATTTAAAAGTATAGTTCCCCATTGTTAAAGTTTTAACCGAATTTGAAAGTTTTTGTACTATCAAAAAAATCCATTCTTTGAAAGTTGTAAGATGCCAAAAAGTTGGAAGTAAAAGGAAAATGAGAAGAAGGGATGGGCAAGTGTCATGGGTTCACACAAATTTCTATAGCGAGTGGGGTTTCGTGTAGACTTGTCGACCCGTCATATTTGTCGAACAAATTTTATACTTATGTTGTAAGATGATATGTTTTGTGTTGTTTTTATTCAGTATAATAAAATATTTATGTTGAAAATGTATGATTGTCTAATAGTTATGGCTGTCTTTAACATATATAACAATTAGGCTGACTCGTATAAGAATAATTGATACTATTGAACAATCATTCATTATTTCTACAAACAATATAGTTTATAGAAGCACTTAATAAGATCAGTAGATAATTAACCTCAAGCAAATGCATAGCACTTAAAATAGGTGTTATATGCGTGTGTAATATTTGAAATCATAAATTAGATTCACAACTTATAATTTTATCATTAATAAAGTATAGACTATTTAACTTATATATTAATCTTTATATTGACTGTAATAAAAGAATTATAAAAACAAAGTAATAAAAGAAAAGCAATCCCAATATTCTATAATCATCGATCGAATGACTAAAATACGTTACTTTACAAAAGCCAGCAATCGAACGACAATACCATACATTACATCACATAAAGATAATCAGACGTTCAATATATCAATCACTAGGGCTTGTTCGACTGATCGGATTTTTTCCTCCTTAGAACGAAAACCCAAGTGATCGCCTCCAATAATACGAAAATACCCCCCAAAACCGAGATCAAGACAATACACACAGTCTTCCACTTGTTCTCGGGCTGTAAAATGCCGAGACCTTTGAACACATTGATTATTCCGAGGATTAGAATCGTGTATCCTATCCCCTGGTGGTAGATATTCCAATAAAATCGAATTTTGTGTTCTTTGTTGGGTCTCAACAGCAAGGCAAATATCTACGTATGATGCCAAAGTCCAAACACAGAACAACCACATATTAGCAAAAACGGGATCACCATATTCAGAAATAAAATGGGCTTAGAGTTTGTATATTCAAATGTTTCAATTAAAAGCAACAGAACAAAAATAGCCTTCAAGACTCCAAGATTGTATTCGGCTGAGGTTGTAATTTTTTTCACAAAATCGACCCGTTTAAATTTTCTTGAAGTATATTGAGAACAAAGTTGACGAAACTAACACCTTAAAAGCTCTTTCCTCTTAAGTCTATCCAAACACTTCAAACAACTCACTTTCAAACCATATTCAGAAATAAAATGGGCTTAGAGTTAAAATGACCTATAATCGTCATTCTATATACAAATGATTCAGTTAAAATAGCCTTCAAGGCTCCAAGATTGTGTTCGGCTAAGCTTGCAATTTTTTTCACAAAATCGACCCGTTTAAATTTTTTAGCACAAAGCTGCAGAAACTAACACCTTAAAAGCTCATTCCTCATAATTCTATCCACACACTTCAAAGTTCAAACAATTCACTTTCAAACCATTTCATAAACTATATCAAAAGCTTAAAAAAAAAAAAACAATCGAATGATGAGATATAAATACCTGCACGGTTGCAATAACAAAGAGTGTGATCCCGATATTACGGTGAGTTGAGTATGTAATACCATGTGACTCACTTCCGAGTTTAAGACCGGTGCTCCAGCCGGAAACTCCAATGGCATAGCCGGAAATTTGACAAAAAACGTGCAAATAAAACCAAGCTGGGTCGGCTGATCGGAATACCTTAAGGTATCGTGCGATTATGATCCCAACTGGTAACATAATCCCCCAGCTAACCATGTTTAGCACCCCGTGAATCTGAAAACAAAAACCACGAAGTTCAGTGTAAAAGTTCAGTGTTCAACTATTTTCGAGTTCATTAGCCGAACAATTTATTTCAATGTAGGCTAAATTTTCGACAAAACCAAGAAGTTCAGTGTTCGACTATGTTCGAATTGGTCAGCCGAACAATTTATTTCAAGGTTGGCTAAAATTTCGACACAAGCTCACTATTTTTTTGTTATTTTTTTCTCCTTGGCTAGAAGTTCAATCTTCACTAAAACAGAACAGTATTGTATCAACAGCTATAAGGAAAAATAATTAAATAAAAGTTCAATAAATAAAATGGGGAAACTCACATTTCTCTTCCTGGTTCTCGAGTCCCCGCCGGTGGCGGTGGGACCGGTGGGATCTCTCCCCAGCAAATCGAGTCTTCCCTTGGCGTTCAGATTCGCCGGCTGAAACTCGTGCCTGACCGGCACACCGCCCGAGACGGCGGGGCCCACCTGCCAGATGTGGTTCAACGAGGTCGGAGCCCCCTCCGGCAGGACCAGGGCGGCGAACAGCCTCATTTGCCCGTCGGAGAATTCAGCCGACGAGTTCAGCACCTGGAACCAGACCGTGGAGTTCGCCGGCATGGCGTAGCCATTGATGTTGTAGGTACGGACCGCCATCCGGCCGGTGGGTTCCCGGAAAGCGACGAGGGCCTGTGAGCCGGCCATG